CCACAATTGCACTAATACATACCATATATATTTTAAAACAAGCCCTTCCTTCCTTCCTTCCTTCCTTCCTTCCTTCCTTCCTTCCTAGAATAGCTTATAAAATTTAAAAACCCTAAAATAAAAACTACTTTAGTACACCCTAATACATCTAACACATTCATGCTTCAAAGGAAAAAAACAATCAGAATTTGCTGATTTACTGCCAATATTATGTAATGAAAATATATTTCCTGGCAGCAAATATAACAAGGTGTTGAAAGTTAGGATTATCAGTTACAATTAGAACCCAAATTTATATAAAAGATTAAAAATGCTCACCAACCAAAAGCTTCTTGAGAGCACAGTCTTGTACATTTCAAATAAATGCTGCTAATTATGACATGATTACATCAACAAAGGAATGTTGTGCTAAAGACAGTCACATATTACGCTAAGAAACCACTACCAGTCAACTTTTCTCATACTTAATCCAAAAAATTGTGAGTTATTGTGTATAACCTGCTTCACTCATTCTCTAATTTTCACTGAAAATAATCTGCACTGTTCAAACTGGTCTCTGGCAGAAGATGTTCTTTTATTTATTTACATCATTTAGAAATCACCCAGTTAAAACAATCAAAAGAAAGCATGATATAAATGCACAAAGTTGGTATTTACTTGGGAAAAGTCAGAATATTTTTGGATTTGTCTACAAGTTGGTTGTAAGTCAATAATTAGTTATATTAATTTTGCATGTATTCAGGCATAAACCCATTTCATCTAACTTCTGAATCAATACAAAGTTTATTTTTAAAAGGCACATGAAAATTATTTTTCTGAACTATTTCCCATCATATGCAGTTTTATATGCAAGTTTTGAGTTAAAACTCCACTGTAATTTTGGCAAAGAGTATTGTCCGAGGATTGTAATTATTTCTCCATATTAATTGCACAGTAAAAATTAGATCAGTTCACTCTGAAATTCACAACCGATGAAATTCCTGTCTTCAAGAAAAATGTTAAGACTTCTTTCATTTGTATAAGAGCTTTCAAAAAAGTAACCAGTAAAAACTCAAATGCAGTTAACTTAATGACCACAATTGGGACCAGAATCTCAATCACTGAGTGAAGTGGTCATTAAATGAGACACCCATGTGACTGCTTCGCTCAATGACACTGCTGGTTGCAGTCGTTAAGTGACTTCCCGGGTTGTTAAGTGGACAGAACAAAAGAGATACCTGCTGAAGTTTTTTAGCTCTGCACAGAGCTGAAATTCTCCCGGCAGGCAGCCCTTTCGCTCTCAAACATTCCTGCACCCCGCCAAAGGGTTTCTCTCCCCTCCATGCACAGAGGGGAAATCCTTCGGCAGGCTGCAGGAACGGAGCTCAAATCCTGAAGATTTCAGCTCAGTTTCTGCAACCCACAGAAGGATTTCAGCTCCTCTCCATCCCTTCTTCCCTGCTGGCTTCCCCATTGACTTTCTGGGGAAGCCAGGAGACAAAATTGCAAATTGTGATCACATGATTGCAGGGAGCTTGGCAACTGGTCATAAATGCGAGCTGGTTGCCAAGCACCCAAAATGCGGCCACATGACTGCGTGGGGAGGGGAAGTTTTACGTTGGCCAGAAGTGCTTTACAGGCCATAAAGCACCCTTTCCGAGGCTATCGTAACTTCAAACTGTTGTTAAACAAACAGTCATTAAGCGAGGACTACCTATATACAAACAATGGTTAATATCCTATGGTTTTACTCAGTAAGTAAAAAAGGCTTCCAGTTAACCTTCTTTTTATAAATCTGTCTACTTTTAATTGGAGGAAGTCAATAAACGTAAGACACATATTATTTTTAAACCATTTATTCAGATTAAAACAGTAGCCTGTCTGTCTGTCTGTCTTTCCATTCAAATCAGTTTTGACTCCTGGCAATTGCCTGGACAAGTCTTTGCAGTTTTCTTGGCAATATTTTTGGAAGTGGTTTGCCATTGCCTGCTTCCTAGGGCTGAGAGAGAGTGATTGGCCCAAGGTCACCCAGCTGGCTTTGTACCTAAGGCAGGACTAAACTCACAAGTCTCCTAGTTTCTAGTCTGGTGCCTACACCAAACTGGATCTTGAGTATTCCTTAGGCAAAGTTGAATGAAAAAAAATATTAAAACATACTGTCCTGCCTTCTAAAGATTGAAATATACCCTCATATTTCTTTGGTAAGAACTTCCATAATGCCTGCCCTCCGCCACTTTTATTTTAGTAGCATACAAAATATTTCAAGTTCAAAACAGTTGTTTCAGGCTCAACAAAGGGTCTGACCTCAGCAGAAATGTTCTGCTATTAAAACAGCCCCAAGAACATAGAAGGGCCATTTTGAAGTCAGAACATTTTTGGGAGATTGAACAACATCACGATATTCTTATGGTATCAGAATAGCTTGTTTCAAGTTTGACAAGATTCAAAATGTTTTGCATATCTCTGCCACATTCAGTTTCTATTTTTCAGATATATTATATTATTCTAACATAGTACTCATAGTCTTAACTCTAGACTAGTCCACTTAAACTTATCTCCCACTGGAGAAAAAAAAGGAATGTTAGTCAGACTATCTCTTTCAAATCCTTTGAACACTTAAACACATTTGCTGATAATTATTACAAGAAAATAACCACTAAGAAATCTTAAGTCAGTTAACTGAATAGATTTTAAATAATAATTTAATACTTCCCATGTAATTAAGTAAGTTTTGAAGAAGGGGAAGTATATTTGGGCTATTAAAGTGTTTTATTTTTTTAAAGTCAGGATGGCATATTGCTTGCCTTACTGCTGCTACTTCTGCCAAAACAATAGCAGGAGTTTCAGCCACTGAAGACGATGTCCTGCAAGAGGACACTGACCGAAACAACTGGGGACAGAATATATATTGTCCTTGGTTAGAGTGATAGCTTTTATATAAAAAAAAGACAATGTGAACATTAAAAGTGCTGTACCTTAAATACATTTCTTCCTAAAAAATAATGCATCTGCTCCAGTGGCCACAATGGTGTCTGTTGCAGATGTTTTATATATGCCTTAATTACTATTTTTTTAAAATCTTGCTTCCCAATTTTCCTGAAGCATTTTTAATAGACCAAAGTGTGTTTAATCAAACAATTGGTTGGATATTTTTTTCTTTGAATTAAAGTTTGTCTTCTATCAGAAAGTAAAATTTTCCAGCAAATAGAAGTAATTAAATTACAGAAGGAAATACCAGTTTGTTTCATTTTTAATTAATGTTACAGGAAAGCCAGGTTTTGCATTACTCTTATTATAGCAATACATAGGAGTTTCTATAAGCTTTTGCTATGGTTAGTCTATTCATTTTAATCACTTCTTTAAAAACTTAAGCTTTCTCTTACCTCTTTTCTTGGTTCTAAATAAGTCTCGTAAGGTAATGAAGATGCAGAACTGAGGGCCTCATGAAGTTGCTTTTCCAGTTGACTGATACGTTGTTCTTTTTCAAATAATTCATCCTGGAGAGGCACTTGACTTTGCCGCAGCTGAATTTCACTTGCTTTGAGTTTTTCAAAACATATAGTCAATTCATTATAAAGCTAATTAAAACAAATAGATACATTTTAAGAAAATGTGTTATTATAAACAAGAGACATATGTAATTATACATTGACTGTTGCAATACGAAACTCATCCATAAAATCATACAGTTATTAAGATCAAATGGACAAACTTTGTGGTCAAAGGTCACACCTAGGATTTTTGTTTTTCCTTTAGACTCTGAGGGCCAGAAAGAATGGAATTGGAGACATGATGAAATTATTGGGTAGGGGTACAGGGAGCCAGGAGGCTGGTTTTTTTTTTAAGCCTTTCTTTTGCTGTTCCTGAAACTGGAAACCTAAATTACATGTAATTGGTTTAATCAAAAACAAAAAAATACTTTTCATTCATCTTCCAATTTGAATGAAGCAAGTTTTCATCCTCTAAATAACTAAAAGCAGATAACAAACTTCAAATTCCACTAACAGTAACCAAAAAATACAGTATTTGAAGATCAACTGTCTCCCTTGCATTCATTTTCTGAACTAGATACAGCAAATAGAACTAAGCCTATCAGCAAGTATGTACAGTAATACCTCGGTTCACGAACACTTCTGTTCGCGAACAATTCGGTTCACGAACAGCAGCGTTTGCAAAATTTTGCTTCCGTTTGCGAACTCTGCATCAGGTGAGGAACATGACCCGCGGCCATCTTCCCTGCTCTGACACATGGTCGTGGCTTCCTGTAGGTGAGATCGTGGTCGCAGACAGACACTTCCTGTCCTCCACGCCAGAAGTCACCTCAGGCAAGGTTAGTGTTCTCTCTCTTCATACTGTACTGTACTGTACTGTACTTTGTTTCATATT